GCCCCTCTGGGTGCTGCGGTGCCTATGGGTGCTGCGGGTTCCTGTGGGTGCTGCAGTGCCTGTGGGTGCTGTGGTGCCAGTGGCTGCTGCAGATGCCCCAGGCTCTGGTGCAGTTGGGTAGCCCTATTCAAGGTCCCCTGGCCCACGGTGGAAGCCCAGCTCTGGTGAAGCTTCCCAAGAGCTCCCCCCATGTGGTGGACGTGCCCCTCCCCCCCATTTTCCAAGATGTGAAGTGAAGGAAACAGGGAAAAAACAAGGGGGAATAAAAAAAGAATAGCAAAATGCTCCCGAGTCCCCATAGTGTGGGGAGGGGGGGTGAAAAGGAAAAGAGGAAAGGAATTAAAAAAAATAGAAAGGAAAAAGGAAAAGGAAAACAATAAAAGAAAATGGAAAATGGAAAAAAGGAAGAAAAGAAGGAAAGAAAGGAAAAAGGAAAGGAAGGAAAAAAGAAAGAAGGAAAAAGGAAAAAAGATGAAAGAAAAAACTAAAAAAGAGAAAAATAAAAAGAAAAAAGAGAAGTTCTCAATGAAAACTGGAGGAAGGGGACAGGAAGGAGGAAAACGGGAGAACAGGGAAGGAAGAACAAGGGAGACAAAAGGTGTCTGTGCTGCTGCTGGGGTTCAGCGACCCCCCGTGCTGGTGGTGAGTTCATGGCCAAATCCATGTCCCCCCCACGGGAGCACCATGAGGTGGCAGAGCCGGCACCAGGCCTGGGGTGAGTGTGTCCCCACAGAATTCCTGCGGGATGAGCCAGCCTCCACCACGGCCAAGCACAAGTGTCCCCATGGTCCCCGCCAGGGCCACCGCATAAACACCTCGGGACACCACGACTCACCTCGCCACCCCCCACGGGAGCCCCCGGCACCTCGAGACTCCCCTTCCCACCTCCCAGCAGAGCCAGGGAAGGGGAAACTCTGCCACGGATGGTGGCCCCCCCCAGGTGTTACCCTGCGCCTCTGCCCGGGCCGGTTGGGAGCAGGCCTTGGCCTGTGAGCAGGCCTCAGGGAGGGAGTGTGTGAAGGGGGTGTTTAGGGGAAAACCATGGATTTAGGGGAAAAAGAGGGGATAATGCTGCTGATGGGCGCTGCTGACCCCCCCTCGGGTGCGCTTTGCAGGGACACCTTCCACTAAGGCAGGTTGGAACAACCTGGCCTTGAGCACTGCCAGGGATGGGGCAGCCACAGCTCCTCTGGGTGCCCTGTGCCAGTTAAAAAGTGCTCCCGCCGGGGGGCTTGCCTGCCGCTCCAGCAGCGCTCAGTCACGGTCATGGTGCTTCTTGGTGTTTCAAATAACCTCCTGGGCTGGTTTGTGCCATCACCTCCCATCCCGGCATTGGACACCAGCGAGAAGAACCCAGCTCTGTCTTTACACCCTCCCCTCAAGGATTCGCACCCATGTAAGATCCCCCTGAGCATCGCCTCCTCCGCTCCTCACGCTCCATCAGCTGTGTTTGTTCCAGCGCACGGTGGTGGCTCATGGGCAAGCTCCATGTCCTTTCCCACAGAGCTGCTTTCCAGCCTGGTGCTTCCCATGGGCAGGACCTTCTGCTTCCCCTGGTTGAACAACTGGACTCAGGCTGGTGCTGAGTACCCAGCCAGGGTGCAGCAGATCCTTCCCAAGGGACCAAGGACCGGCAAAGGGGGACAAGGAGCAAGGTCACAGCCACAGTGCCCATGGGTTGTGGCATCTAGAGCAGGGTCCAGGCTCTGCCCCTTTAGCCCCATGCAGGATGAGGAGCCTCCTCCAGGTCCACATGTGCATCAGAGCAGGGATGCAGCGCGGTCCCACCACCCCACCACAGCCAGGAGGGATGAGACACCACTGGGTAAGTGTCACCTACTTTAATGACAAGTAAAAAGCCAAGAGCAGCAGGGCTGGCACCCAAACGCAGGCAGGTGCCTCCAGGCTGGGCTCCCCTCCACTGAGGGCTCCTCTCCACCAAAGCCAGGGCAAAGCCACGCTCCTTGTGCTGGGCAGTGCCAGGAAGCTCCTGCTCCACTGTGGGACTGTTACTCCTCAAAGGGCTGTGCCAATCCAAAAGGAACAATCCCAAAGGGACCTGCAAGAGCATGGAGCTCTCTTTGGCCTCCTCCTCCTCACTCACCAGAGGTGGCACCAGCATGAGAGGCTGGTGACACTGATGCCATGGCCCAAGGCAGGATGAGCAGCATTGGAGCAGGAGAGCACTGGGAAAGGCACAGCAGGAGGTTTATTTACAGAGGGCAAATGGTTTCGTTTTGCATTCCTGTCCCAGGGGCAAAGCTGAGGGTCCTACACCCAAGGACAACAGTGTCCACAGGGCACAGCCCCCAGCTCCATCACGCTCGTCGGGCCTTCTTGCTTTTCTTCTTCTCCTCCTTGACAGCAGCATCGTGGGCTTTCCTCTTCGCAGCGAGTTTGTTCGCCTGTGGAGAACACCCCCAAGACCCACAGTCAGACCCATGTGCAGCCACCGACGGCTGCTCTGCCCCGGTCCCCCCAAAACCCCTGGCTGTATATGGAGAGATGGACACATGTGCTGCAGGCACCCGGGTCCATGCCCTCACCAGCTACGGGAGAGCAGAAGGAGCAGCCCAGAGGCTGCTCCCTCAACCCCAAGGTGGGACAGACCCGCTTTTAGTGATCCACCACCATGAACCCATTTGGGAAGAGACAAAGGTCCTGGGCCCACAGCAGCCCTATGCGCCTACCTCTCTGACTTTCCTCTTCTTGCCAAACATGATCTTCTTGTAGAGGTATTTCTCCCTCTTCTTCATCATCATGATGGCCAGACGCTTCTCCTCGCTTTGCTGCTCCTGCTCCAGGCGCTGCTTGTCCTCCAGCCGCAGCTTCCC